ATTTTGCACCAAAATGTAATAAAAAAATAATAATCTCAATAATTTTAAATTGACTACTGCAGAAAGGTAGCCTTAAAGTCTCTCGAAATTCTACTTTTAAAAAAGAAATAGTCTAACGCAGAGGTATAAGAAAATAAATATTGCAAGAGATCTTGAAAAGTTCTTTTTATGCATCCAAAGGTTAATACAGCAGCTTCATAAAAAGATACGATCAGTTTACTTCGTGACCGGAACATGTTACTGCTTTAGACTCTCGTGAACTTTATCTTCCGCCAAGATTATCTCTTCGAGGTAACCTCGGAAGAAAATAACCGCGGATAAGTAAGTAGTACGGATACGTAATGATCCGCTTGATTTAAACTCGACCCTCTTTAAATACCATCTTTGAATTGCCGTGTGCGGCATCGTTCAGGAATCTCTATTAATGCGTCGCGTCGCGCCGCGCCCCTCCTCCCCGTTTCACAGACCATTGCGGATGAAGTGCACGCGGCGCATTCGAGACACGCCGCGTAGTCTGGTATTTCAGTGCCAGGCCATGTAATTTTCCGAGTGTAGAACCGCGGCGGCGCGATCCGCGTTCGCGTGAAATTGGAAAAGGGCTTCGTCCCGTCGGAGAGAGCCTCTCCATTTGGCGAAGCGTAGCGGCGACCAGACGATAGAACCCGGGAACCGTCTGGTAGACCTTGAACGGCCCTTTAACTGCGGCTGCATTACAGTCAAGGTTATCATCCTCGTCTCTCCGTGACGTGGAACGGTGCCTCCCCGAGGGAACGAATGAATAGAAACGCGGATTCGCTACTTCGCCAAGGTCGCCCTTGTCTGCCAGCAAGAATTGCACTCTGGTGCATTACGCGCGAGTACATATTTCTTCTTCAATCCTGTATAGCGACTAAAATAGATGAACATTGATAAATGATGGTATACGCGATAAGATATATGTGCGATACTTATCTATTATTAATTCAGGATAATGTAAGATACGAAGTTCCGTCGTAATCTCGATGATCTCGGTGAAATCAAACTTTATCGATTAGCGAATCAGATTATCGAGAGCTATGAATTTATACATATATCGATTGTGTTATCACGACTGGTGAAATTAAAACAAATAAGAATTGAATTGGACCATATATGTATGAAAACACAATCGATAAGAAGTAAAAGCCTATATAACGATCGAAGCTGGGATCTCTTCAATGCTTAATGTATATACTATATTTGTAGTCATTTAGTATAAAGTTAGTACGCGATCGTGTTGCATAGTTTGTTATAAGAATAGTAGGCGTTGAAGATGAATTCACAAGTTTAGCGATATATAAATCGTTTATAGAATATGACAAAACCATAATAAACGGTGCTGTGAACTATTAATGAATACGACTGGCAAACGAGAATCGATGACTGCGGCGGTACCGGCTATGCAAAATCGCGTTCCCTTTCCATGACTAAATAATAGTCGCGAGGAATACAACTTCGCCGTCCGCGCTGGTACAATCGTGACTATCGGCTGCAGGTAGCATTCCTTATCATTACGCCCCATAAGCATTATCCACGGTTCCATCGAGAATGATTCCGCGACGCGGCTGAGAGAAGTGAAGAAGAGGTGGCACGTCCTAACCCAGAAGGAAAGCCACCTCGAGAGTAAAAGAGAGGTGAAAGAAAGAGGGAGCGAGAGCGATCAAGAGGCGGCGGGCGTGGATCGAAGGCGAAAAGAGAGATAGAGAGGGAGATTGCGCCGCCGGAGTGAAACGTTATGGGAGAGACCGAGACGGGAAGGGAGAAGGAGGAAGCGGAGGGAGAACGAAACACCATTTGGAAGCGAGCCATGAAAGATCAAGATGAGATTTAAATTTCGCTTGAATATTCATTTTATTAGATTGTTGGATACTCCGGCTGCATGTGCATTATGCACGTATCTATTCACGCGTGCACATCCACGGTGTATTCAGAAGAAGTCCAGAATACCGCAGGCTATTGTGAGCTTAATGATCATAATTGCGATTTGAAATTCGAATACACGATTGTATTATCAGACATGATACATTTGACGTCATGTTGTATCAACGTGGATAAATGCTGTACCGAACGATATGACAAAGGTTTATCCGAGAAGACTGCTTGTTTCTTATTGAATTCATGTACACATTTGGTTTATATAAAAATGATAATTATATTGCATGTGCGTCTCATTAAATCTAAAGCCCATTCTACAATTGTATAAACGTATATATTTATAGTTGTTGTACATTTTTTACTATAAATCTTTGTTACTTAAAAATAAAACCTAATTATAAACAGAGAAAATGTTTCGTTAAAACATCAATGTAATTAAATAATAAAACCCAAAAGTGGTCCTATTTTTAAGTGTATCTTTTAAACAATCTTTTAATCTTTTAAAAAATAAAATCAAAGTGCAAAAAAACTATTTCAAACCGGCTACAAATCTTCACTTCATAAAAATAAAACCATAAGTGTATTATAAAAATTGACCGATCACGATCGAATGAACATTCCCCTTATATTCGACTGTGATTGGTCGACTCTTATACAGCTACGCGTAATTTTGCGATTCGAATGAATCATACTAACGTTTCTTCGTAGCGTACGCAATACGTATAACACGATAAACGCGTTCCGCTGCGATAATTCCGTGGAGAGGTGATGTCCGAGAGGGATGTTGTTCAAAGCGTCGGCCGGATCATTTATTTATCTTCCCATTCTCGGCTACGCGTTACTAATTAGCCGTGATTGCGATAAAGTATCGATACATCAAAAGCATACCTGCTGTACGCGCGCATAGATACGCGAATCCCTTTCAACCCCGGGATGTTATTCAGCGTGCGTGAATTTCGTATCGCGGCCGTATTGTTGCCCGATAGCCGCCACGGCTATATACAGCCGCACCACTCGCGGATAAATCTGATTTGCCGTCCGTGATGTTCCTACCTGCGTATCATGGCAAGCGCGCGTAGTTTGCGAAACGAAAAGGAAGGGTTCGTTCGCGGGCGTTATACCTGCACCCGGGAGAGGACTAAATTACGAGCTTGTCGGTCGCTGTTAGCTCACCGGCCAGCCGCGGCTACCACCCCGAGCTGGTATTAAACCGAACGGTACATCCGGTGCGTATGTACACCCCACGATTGCGGCATGCTTCCGAGTGGACCGATCGTATGGCGATTCTGCGGTAGACAACGCCCGGGGCTCCTCGACGAGTCTCCGTTGGATACACGGAGATTGTACACACAGGGGTGTCGCGGGGGCTGGGTTTAAACACGGGGATGGGTAATGGTGACTCGCCTATCAGCCCTATACACTCTGTCCCGCGCTCGCCGGCTCTCCCTTTCGGCGATGTTTCTCCGATCCCCTTTCCTCTGCCTCCCCGTGTTGTCGTATCGTTGAATTTGAATTTCTCATTATCCTCGAGGAGAGGTATCTCTTCATTCATACTTAGAACATCATGAACATAACTCGCGATATATTTTCGCTGCATCTTTATCGAGCTAATGTTTTATTTACTTTTTCCGTTGTAATTTCAAATGGGATTATTTAAATTTATCATGTAATACGTTTGTTAGCTGAGGGAAACGCGTGTATGCATTATCATTAAACATAAATACAACAGATTATAGGAATTGGAGAAACCAGATTTATATCTGCAATTATAATGCGTAAAATAATGAAATGTACTGTACATGTAAAAGTATTGCTTGAACTTCGAATTGCATGCAAAAATGTTTTTACTCGATATTCAAATAAAAATTAGAAGTGATGATATAAAACGCAAAACAATAGAAAATTAAATACAAAAATTATATTTTAAATAAATATTTTTGAACAACAGTATTAAATAGAAATGAAAAATGCATTCAGTGATAAAAAAACGAGATTTTAAATAAAACGGTTACGGACAACAGATTAATTGATATTTAATTTAACCGTACTGTTCATTCTCTTTCCCTATTTTTACGTTAATCTGTGAATTTTTCTTCAATAAATTTTCTTTGAAGTCCATTTCACTTTTTAGAGTGGATAAAACATTTTTCTCTTCTCCTCCATATCTGTGCCGTTCCTTGCCTTTCGATGATATCCAATCTCCCATCACATGATGTTAAGTGAGGAAGGGGAAGGGTAGAGGAAGGAACAACGATATCCCGGTAATTTACGTCGATAGTGGCTGAACTGAATGGCCACCAACCACTTTGCATATTGGATACTCACACGACTCGCAGTTTAGCGCTGTCTTCGATGAATATCCTGCGGCCGGCCGCTGCAGTCGGCCGCCGGAAATAGCCTCCGTCCCGGAATTTCATTATCCCTTGTCGTTGATGCCTGATATCTCGTCCGGTTCCGGGATGGCATTCAAAAATTCTGCCAATTCCAGAACATTTTCATCTATCCTCTTTGGTAATTTCATTGGCTTCCGAAAGAATTGTCGCGCTCGTGGCTTCGCTCATCGATCCCTCGACGTGGCGAGTATCGTTTCGAACCGCTATATCGATAATACCGCAATTTTGCATACATATAACGGTGCAATTTTTTTATGAATTTACGTTATCGTTGCTCCTGCTATTTCTTTGTTACATCGTAATCATAGTAATTCTATTTTAACGAAAAGATAAAAAGAACGTTCACGATTCAATCAAAACTGATATCAGCAAAAAATATCCCTGCGACAAAAACTTTTCGGTAAAATTTATATAGTCAGCAAAGTGTGATGTTGTATAAAAGGATAGTAAAACAATTCAGTAAAGAATTCGAGAGCTGCGGTAATAGCAGAATTTTTATGAGTACGTAGAAGTATATAACGTCAATCGACGTGGAATCCACAATCTCAATTAATCCAAGATAATAAACCGATAACCGATAACGAACGAAGCTACAATGAAGGCTTTGCCCGACTACGGTCCGATAACGAATTTTTCTATACTCTCCACGATTGATAACGACAGACAGTTTGTAGTAACGGCTAAATGATAAACTTTCGTGAATCGTGGAGAATAATGTGGGCCATGTTATTAGTGTATCCACTGACGCTTCTGACGTTTCCGTGTTTCGTTCACAGTAAGTGTAAAAAAGAGAAGAAATAATACGCATCTCGAGCTCAAAATTGATTTCGTGAATAGCAAAGAAAAGCGTGACGCGCGCTCGCGAGTGTTTCTAATTATTCCTGTTTGTTTTCGAAACCGAGAGGAGATTCAGGATGCGGGCAGCGGGCAATTTTCCATGATGCATTAGTATGCATTATTGAATGAAAATACGCACAGCGTACGCTCGCAACAAAAGCAGAGTTGATAGAACATTAATCGCGCACGGATAAAATTCCAACGGTTAATTAGTTTTTCATTAAGCTCGCCGATAATTATCATGCAGACTGTGTACGCGCTCCGAAAAATAATTTTTACACTCGATGACGAATAATGCAAATAATTCACAATGTCGCAGCAACTCAGAGTCGCTATAAATTTCGCTCTTCTCGATAAATCAATTTTTTCGTGTAATTTAGATTTTTATCTCGCAACAGCATGATGTAATATGCACCATCAACGATAATGACGATTATAATTTGTACGTCAAGGCTCGCCAACTGATCTTCCTATTTCTTCTGGAGTAACCCTGCAGCCTATTGGATTATCTAGTCGCATAATTAATGGAACAAAAGCCGTTTTAAGGCAATTTCCCCATCAGGTAATAGTTTTTGGTAATTTTTTAATCTAACGTGTATCTGAGTGAGAAAAATGTTATTTTTAGGTGTCTTTAATGCGCAGTTGGAATAAAAAACATTTTTGCGGTGGGAATGTGATTAGCACTTCTTTAGTCTTAACTGCTGGTCACTGCGTGTACAAGTAAGTCAGCTATTTCAATTAAATATCTTGATCATTATCGACAACAAACAATTTCTTAAATGCAAAATATTTCTTAAATGAAATTGTATAATCTCGTTACTTCAATTGTTGCTAGCGTTGCTAACTTCGAGAAAATGTTTGCGATAAAATTAATTAACGATATCTCTGATTTGATGTATTTTAATCTACATTCTTTGCATGAAGTATCGATTAATTAATTAATTTACACATCGTATATGGAAGTGTATAATGATAATGATTCCTTTTATCTCCTTATGAGGAGCATAGGACGTCTATAGGCCTCTTCCTCTTTTGTCCGAGACTTATATTCGTTTCTCGAATCAGATTGTTTTTCGGATTTGTGGGTGATGGATCCACAGAATCCTACCTCAGTCAGATATTAGAGACAAATATCTACTAATATATATACTGATGTATATATGGAAGTGTATAAGTGCTTAAAAAGAACATCTATGACTATAATTGAATTAATAAATTAAGCTAAATTATTACTAAATAGAAATAAACACGGAGCTATTAATTACATAGGTCTAGAAATGTTACACCACCATGGACAATTATTGTGGTTGGAGGAGTGATAAATCTGTACGAAGCTTCGACGCGACAAGAGAAAGGCGTAGAGAATATCAGAATTCATCCAAAGTTCAATCTTGAAAATTTGTACAATGACGTTGCCGTTTTGAAAGTACAATGGTTTATCAATCAACCGTTATTCTCTGCGTTTTCACGTGACTTTCAGAATAAGCATAATTAATGTCTTTTGTAGCTATCGACACCCTTTATGTTTACTCCGGAAGTTCGTAGTATACCCTTGTCAGGCAACCCACCGGTACCTAATACTATTTGCCAAGTAGCTGGTTGGGGTTACACGGTAGCCGTGAGTACACAGCGAAATACTCTGATCGCAGGAAAATCCGTTTCAACTAAAGAACCACTAGAAAACATTGAAAATATCTTTAATATCAGGGCATCCGGAGACCGTCATCCGATTTGATGTACGTCGATCTACCAGTTCGAAGCGAAAAAGAATGTCGCAAACTGCTCAAAAACGTAACGGATTTACCACCGGGAATGATTTGCGCTGGTTATTTAGAGGGCGGAAGGGACGCTTGCCAAGTAACGTATTCCCTTAGTCATTTTTATGTATACAATTTATTACGCATGCATACATTCATGATAATGTGATTTATAAATGGCCAACATTACGATTTTTCAAATCTTTCAGGGTGATTCTGGCGGTGGAATGGTCTGTAATGGTATTCTGACCGGTATCGTTTCCGGTGGTCAAGGGTGTGCTCAGCCACTGTTGCCTGGGGTATACGCAGATGTTTTTCATTATTTGGACTGGATATTAAATGACACAGACGTAGTGACGGTAGTGCGGAATAACAATAGTAGAAATTACGGCGCAGTTAACACGTCAAGAATTACGATCGTGGTAGTTTCCTTTCTCTTTTGCACTGTGTTATCAGTTACATCTAGACCTTGAAGATAAACAGAGGACCTCCCTCTGTTGACATGTTGATACGTATATTTAAAAATATTAAACAAAGGACAGTTTTTATGGGTAATGTGATAATTACAGTTTACAATGCGTTTATAATGCCGCCATGTATGACTTTGATGAGTGAAGTGTCTTGTAAAACAGGTAAAGTCTAAAATTGATAAGATAAATACTTTTATAATTTAAATAATTGTGTTTAGAGATTTAAACAAATATCGCGCGCGCGTGTATTATAATTTTTTAAATTATTAATTATTCTCTACTTCTCCATTAATTATTTATTTTGATTGTTGATGAAATTCGCGGCGCATTTGTTTTTAAAATATTTATTTAGATCTTAAAAAATTAATTTTAAATAATTACGCAAAAATATTTAAGATTTGTTGGTTTATAATGTTAGGACTCAATCTTAAACCTATCATTAATTTAATTTACATATTTCATTTTTTATTCTTTATTGTTTTAACAGAGTTATATTATTCAAGCATATTTAAAAGTATCTGTGATACTTAAACAGCAATACAATTGACCTCTGATAAGCTAATTACACAACCGTGAAATTATCAATATATCTGATAATAAAACAGAAATCTTTAATCTTGCTAAATACATCTGTTAATCTTATCAGAAGGTATATTACCTTATTTCTTCTATAAATATACACATATTTAGTAAAAAAATAAAATTTAACAAATAAATCTTATTATTTTAATTGAGACGATAAAAAATAAAAAATAAACGAAAACAATTTACTTTAAATATCTCTTTAATACCATCTTTATTAAAATTTAATCAATAATATTTTGATTTGTTGATGTCTATAAATCACTATTCACATTGCAAAATTCATTTCCTTAAATCATCAATTATCCACAATGCAGCAAACATATTAAATGTAGCGTGTTGACTTTATAGCATTAATTAATTGCTTAATGGTCTCTAATGCAATTAATGAGTTTAACATTTCCTCTATTTAGTTATGTATTTTTTGTATGTACACGGAAATATATGTATATATGCAAGATGTATATATAAAATAATAAATCTTATCATTTATGAACTTTTTAACTTTTCATCTTTCCAAACGCACGAGCATGCACTGTAAAGTATATTCATCATTTTATCTCTTTTACAGCACACACGTACATTCTATCAGATGCGAAAGGATTAATGATTTTTCGTTGCCTTCTGCGCGAAAGAGATAGGAAGGAAAAGAAAAGAAGAAGGGCCGCGAAAGGATAAAGAGACAGACGATGTATCCACTTTGATCTCAAACGGCAAGCAGCAGACGCGCAAAAAGCTCATATCCCACTTAATACACGGCGAATGATACCTCGAGAAATGTATTAGCAAATTGCTTGCTACCAAGATGGGGAAACGTCCACGATGTATTCGTGAATCGCGCGACTCCTTTGCCGCGTCTGCTGGTTTCGCTGCACCAGTATTAAATTCTGTAAGCGAAACCGGTACCTTCAAAGAAATGTGAGGACTCTCGGCGGCTCTTTTAGATTGGATATAAATTTCGCGCGCGTAATATCTGCCGCGTATGCGTACGAAGCGAGTCACGAGGGGGGGGGGGGGGGGGGG